CATATATGGCGTACACCATTCTCAACACCATCCACCTTTTTTAATTTATTTTCCTTTTAAATGTGACCTTCAACTTTTAATTATTATAGTTTTGACCCATTTTTAAAACAACAAATTAGGATGTTTTACTTGGACTGAAATTGGTTTGTCCGCTCTGGTCTGGTCTGGTCTGATTTGATCTGGTCTGATCTGAAATGATGTGGTCTGGTTTGATTTCTTTGTATTTTTATAACTACCCAAGTGTCGTCTAATCAGGTCTGATCTGATCCCGAGACAAATTACAGTCCAAGTAAAAACATATTAATGTGTGCAATAATGTGTTAAATGTCAAAATATTAAATGAGTGGCTAATGTATAAATATATGATAGTTAGATACTTAAATAGAAGAATGGTAAAAAGTTAGTAAAAAGAATAAAAAGAGAATATTCCTTTTTGGTGATGAAAATGGTGTAAACTGTTGGAGATAAAATACTGTTTGATGTGATGTTTACACCATTTTAGTGTAAAAAATGGTGTTAACTGTTGGAGATGGCCTTAGAAGAAGGTGGAGAAGGGAGATGAAGGAGGAGAGAGGGGAGGGTTGCGTAAAGAAAGAGAGAGGGGATAGACGATTCATGACAGGCTGTTGGAAAAGAAGAAATTAGATGGGTCTGACAAAAGGCAAATGATATGATGGAATAAAATTTATTACTCTGTATGTCATTTGTAAAGAAGGGTAAAATCGACAAAATGATCAAACCGGTCAACTAAAAACTCCTATTCAGGGAATAAATCAATATGAACTCCTGTTTTAGAATTTTCTAATTGTTTTACTCCTATTTGGAGCAATTACTTATATGGAATTCATGGGAGACGGAGACAGTTTGTCAGTAATTTTAGTGGCTGGAATCCACAGGCGTTATCTTCTTCGACTGGCATCCGAAGGAGTGCAACAGCAGAAGACGTATGTTCCAATTTACTGGGAATGTTTTTCAAGAGAGAGTTGTAGCAACAGAAAGTCCGTATGAACAAGGTCTTGGCAGCAGCACTAATAAATTTCTGACGCAATTGAATAATATATATCTGCCGATTCCAAATGAGGTATATTTTTCAATTGTGTTGAATCAACAAATTAATACGGAGTATGGTATAGCTAAAGTGTTGTTCTCGATCACACACTCCGTTTGATTTTCCTTTCATGGTAATATTTGAGTTTGAATCGTTTCATTTTATAGTCACATCAAATTCTTTTGATTCATGGATTCCTCTAAGGGAGTGTTTGGTTCAAGGTGATATCTTATGCATGGCGGAATCTCATGCCCGGAATGTGAGATAGCTGTGTTTGGTTCGCGGGTTTGATTTTTTCTTTTGGGAATGTTACATTCCCAAAAGTGGAAAAGGTGATCACATTACCAGGCATGTCAAACCCACCAATGCCTTAGGTTATGTTAGATTCCTGATGGCTTATTAATTTTCTTCTAAAAAAACCTATGCTTCATTAATCGAAATATCTAGATGTGGACCGAGCCCAGTCCGATTCCGGGTCGGGCCCGGATGGGCTTGGCTTTTGGGGAATGAAGCCCGGGACCGGAACGGCTGTTGACCAGTACCGGTTCGGGGCGGTCTACCCGCCCGGGTAACGGGTCGGGCCGGGTACATTTTTCTAATTCATGTCTAAAAATTAATTCAAGAAGTGCTACATATAAAAACTTAAAGTATATTTATTTGAAACATGAACTACAATTGAAAATTGAGAAAAAAAAATAAAACATGAAATACATTTTCTAATAATTGATAAGTTTAATGTGTTAAGAGACAAATATATAAAGGACATTCAAGTAATTCACCAAATATGCAATAAAAGATATCATTCAACCAAACAACTTAATGTGACATTTCTTAATCGTAACCAAACACAAATAGGCTATACATAAATCACATTCCCATCTATCTAACATACCCAGTAATCTAACATTCCCATGGTTATCTGACATTCCTTGAACCAAACATACCCTAAAGGATGATAAATTAGTTATCCAGATATGTTGCATCATCATCATCATCTAAATGATGTCGATTTATTCTTAGTGAAAATTGATGGATTTGTATATGTTTGAGGTTTGCTACATGGTGCAAACTTGGATGATTCTCTTTGACTTCAAGACAATCACAGATGAAAAAAGAAATTTCAGGGACGTCATGTAATAGGAAGCTTTTGTGTAAAACTTGTTTTAGGGACAATCTCTTTGTTTCTTAATTTCAGAAAAGGTTAAAAATTCATCATCAATTACTTCTAAAACTTGTGTGTCTTGCAAGAGAAGTGAATGGCAAGGGCTATTAATCTTTCATTCATCTTCCTACTAAATGTTTTGTGGTTTGTTGTTTCATTACAAGAAGCTTTTGTGTATTTATGATTCTTTGCTTATTTGAAGATGAAATTTATGATTCTTTGCTTACTTGCTCAAATTGCTGGTGATGGCCTGGTGGAGTGACTGAGCTTTGGTAAGGTAAATCTGCTTCCGTTGTTGCATTATTCTTCTTTCTTTGCAAGTGCTTTATTCTGACTTTACAACTATTTAAGACACTCACAAATTATTCGCGTATAAGTAAGTTTCAATAGCGTATGGTCGTGTTGCCAACAAGATTTGTAGACTTAATTTTAATATTTGCATCAATGTCGGCGATTATGAAGATATTCACAAGGCTCAGTACTTTTTTCAGAATGAATCTTATATCACATATATTCTTATCTCATTATTGGTTAAGTTGTTTGGTCTACAATCACCAAGTCATATACTTGTGTACAGAATGTGATATGTGTAGTTCTCTATTTTTACATTTGATAGATTTTTTTCTAAGATTGACAGTAAACAATTTGTGCCTCTTAATTAGTTATTCCTAGATTGCTTGAGTTAAATTTCAATTTCTTTCTTTTTTTCTTGTTTTATTATAACTACTTGTAGGTATCTATTTTTGCATCTATTATATAGGTTTATTGGTTTCTTGTAATAATTTATTCAAATCCGAATTTGCATTATAGTGATTGCATTTCCTGTTGCAGGCACATAATAAAAACGAAGCACATGAAGATGTAAGGATGAGAAGAATGACAAGGAAAATTAAGATAGAAAAGACAAACTCGATAATTTGTATGTTAAGGTGCAACAGAAGTGAGGAGAACCAAAAGAAAAAGATATACTCCGTAATAGATAAATGTAATACTATACAGAGTACATTGTAATAACAGATTGAGTTATACATATGTGTTGTTATTGTTTCTCTTTGTTGCATCGCCTGTGTTGCTTTTTGTTGCATCGTGTCGCTTTTTGTTGTATCGCGTTGCTTTTTGTTGCATCATATTGATTTTGTTGTATAATATTGCTTATTGTTTTTTATTATTGATTTTGAATTTTGTTTTCTATTTACATTTACATTAATATTCATTAATGATTTGGAATCAGAATATCGGATATAGCTATATATAAAAACATCTAAGATGATAAAATCAGATTTATGAATAAACAAAAAGAAACATGAAGAGACAATAAAAAACAAAAATATTTAAAGCTATCAACAAAGAGAAACACAAATAAACAATATGCTAAAAACAATAATAATAAAATTGTGTAACTATATTTAAAATATTACATTAAATAAAAATAAATTTTCAGTTTTTTTAAATATTTTTGTAATTTTCACATTTTCATTTTCAATTTCTTTAATTTACACGAGTTTTACAATATAGTTTGTTACAATTTATTAAGTTTTACATAAAACATTTATGGATTTTATTTTTCTGTTTTTATTTTATTTTTTCAAAAATTTTAGTTTTATGTTTTCCACACATTTTTATATGTTATGTGATTTATTTTGAATTTTTACAATTTTTTATATGTATTTACTTGATTTTTTATTTTTCAATGTAATATTTTTTCAACTTTTTCAAAACAATTACTCCCTCCGTCCCCAAATGAAGTTGAGCATTGCTTTTCACACATATTAAGGAAAGCAATTTACTGGGGGGTAAATTTTACTGTTTGGGCACTGTTTGGACACTGTTTGGACACTGTTTGGACACTGTTTGGCACTGTTTGGCACTGTTTGACACTGTTTTGATATAGATAAATTGCCAAATAAGGAAAGGTGAACTTCATTCAGGGACTACCCAAAAAGGAAAGGGTGAACTTGTTTCAGGGACGGAGGGAGTACTTTTTATTAAAGTTTCTAATTACTTTTCATGTTATTAAACCGTTTAAAAACATTTTTTTCTTGTTTGAAATATTTTTCATGATATATATACTTTTCATGTTATAAATAAAAGTTATTTCTAACCTGATTATACTTTTTAGTAAATTCTCAATTTTTTATATTTTGTATCTACATTTTAATAACTATTTAATAAAATTACAATACAAAAACCAAACGTTTAACCTTTTTTACAATTTCCTTTATTTTAAACTTTTTATTTCTTTTCTTCATGTTTTTTATATGGTTTTATGTTTCTGATTTGTTTTTAAAATTCAATTCATTTTCAATAAGTTTAATTTGCAAGTTTCCAAATTTTCTTGTTTTTTCTTTTTCGTTGTTTTTTTCGTTTTTTATTTTATTTTTAAATTAAATTTCATTTGACAGTATTTTATTGTTGAATAAGCATTATCATATTTTAGAATTTTTAAGTTTTCCTATTTACAAACAAAAAAAATAGTTTGTGCACTAAGTGAAAGAGGTGTAAAGATTCCAATCTTACGTGTCAAATAAATCCACTAAATGTGCTTAGGCTATTTCTCGCATATGGTCAAGGTCGGTAACTCTGTAAGGCATTAGGGGGCTTAGGCTATTTTTGAAAAGAAATCTTTGCTTAGTCTACAAGAAAAAACCAAGAGTGGCAAAATTGATATTAGTTTTGTTTTTTAGCCTATTTGTGAAAAAAAAAAAACATTATTTTTAGGATCTTTTCGTAAACCTTCCATGCATGATTACCTCTGAAGCCTCATGAGTAATGACTTATTCCTTTATGACCAATTTGCCTTCCATGTATGATTGACTATTCACTTAGTAATGGTTCGATATATATATATATATATATATTTATATATAGCTTAATGTTTTAAGAAGGGATCTTTTCACTTATTATGAGAAGAATTCATGAAAAGGAAAGGTTTTTTAAATAATAGCAACGCAAGTCTCAAATATTGAGAACACCGCTATACAAGGCAAGTTTCAACGGATCAATCTTGGCGTTCTATGTTTTGAAGATCAAAGTAAAAATCATGTGATCTGAGCTTGACCGAGAGAAAAAAGTTGAGATATTAGTTGATTTCCATCGAAGCATCCAAGTAGACCAAGTGTCTGGATCAGCTCAATCAAGAGTTCTAGACGTAGTCTTATTTTCAATTTCTTCTTTTGTAATGGGTTTTGAGGATTAGTTATTGATAGCTTCCTCAATCTGGGTTGGTACGTGTGTAGTAACCCTTTAATCATAAATTAAAGGTTAACACGTTTTACTAATATCATAAATGAGCTCTCAACCCTAGGAAATGATATTTATGTTGAATATCAAGGAAGGAAAATAATGAGAAGTTTACCCTCTGCATGGAAGCCTAAACCTAAAGCTATAGAAGAAGCCAAAGATCTATCAACAATGACTCTAGAAGATTTGACAGGCTCACTCATGACATATGAGTTAGGACTACAAGAAGAGCAAGATGATGAAAATGTAAGAAGAGAAAGGGGAATAGCTCTAAAATCGCAAGGGGAGGAAGAGGTATCCGAGAGTGAATCTGAGGATGAAATGAGCATGTTCCAAAAGCAGTTCGGGAAGATGTACCGACACTTCAAAAGCAACAGGAACAAACAAGGTAAAAAAAACTCTAAATATTTTAATAACCAAGACTGTTTTGATCGTGATTCCTTTGAGCACAAGGTAAATATGGAGTTCAAGGTGCCAATTAAAGTTTTTCTTAATTAAGGGGGGTAATATAGCATTTCAGATGATACAGGGGCCTATTTGACCCTTTAGTCAATGAAACATAATCCTACTAACCAATCATATGCATTGTAGATACGGTTCTTACTTATTAATGAGGTATCATAGCATTCACCTACTTTTTTTTAAATGTGTTTATATAAATATTATTGTTTATTGACGTACAATTAATGTCTAGTTAAACAATGTTAAGTTTTGTGATTGTTAGATGATGATTGCATTAATGCATTTTGATGGAATATATGGCCCGTGAACCCCCGGGGCGCCCAGGGAAACTACCGCAAGCCGGAGGCTATCGAGGCTACGACTTATCCGAGGGAGTCCCATTGTTTCTTACGGATGAATGCAGCAGTACTCTACAAAAATGAGCATCGAGGGCTCATTGGTAAATTCTACAAAAATTATCAAACCCCTGGAGATACGAGGGGGTGGTATGTCTGAGGGCTCCATCGCGAGTATTTACTTAGAAAATATCTAAGTCCACAAAAGATGGGCCCCAAGAATTCCGTGGGACAAAGATCAAACATACATGGAGTCAAAAGAAATAGACAAAGGCATTCAGATCAGAAAGCCCGAAGGCGCACCAATCATTCATCAAAGACTCAAGAACAAATTGTTTTGTTTACGTACAAGGCTGAAGCCGAAAGCCTACTGATCTATTACAACAAATATTGTAAGGGAAAAATTTTCTAAGTATCAGCTTCTTGGCCGTCTTCCCTCGGCTTTCAGGCGGCGTCATCCCCGGCCTCTGCATCGTCATCGCCGTCGCACTTCGCCAACTCGGAATCCTCGAGCTTCTCCCTTTCCTCGCCTTTGGACAGGGGGATCCGAACATCAGGCTGTAGAGGGAGGATACCGTAGGCTGACAGATCAAAATCCTTGGGGTCCACTCCGTGGTGTCGGGCCAGCCTCCGTTAGAGCATGGATTGAGTGAAGAATTCACCGCCCTCATAATAGGACTTGCCTTTCCGGGCCAGCCATAAGGCGTCGGGGCCTGCGACCCATCCTTCAACAGCTTCCGGTACGACAGAGGCCACCCACTCCTTGTGATCCTCGGTTCTCCACCCCCTGTATTTGAAGGCTTCAATGGCGTCCTTGGCAGCCTCAGCAACTGCCTCCTCCTTAGCGGCCTCGGCGGCCTCAGCAGCAGCTTTGGCGGCGACAGCAGCAACCTCAGCCTTGCCCTCGGCCCTAGCCACCACCTTGTTATTCTCAAGGATTTTATTGAAAGCCTCCTTCTCCAACTGGGGGGCTTCCTGAGCCTCTTATAGCTGCCTCCGGGATTCAGCCAAGGCCTCGTCGGCCTGCAGCTTCTGGCATGTGATTGCTCCAACCTCTTGAGCAGTTCGCCAAGTCCGAGAAAAGTCTACAGTGGACGCCAACAAACAACAAGAGTTAAACTACTGCGCAAAATATACTAAGCCAAATCAACTAAGGAGAAAAAGGGAAAAAGGATCTTACAGTGAGGGAAGCTTGAAGTATCTTTGAGCCGAGGGAATCGTCCTTGAACCGGGAGAGCACCGATCTATCCGTCGAGGGAGTGGCACCCCTCAGGAACTCCCGCGGGTCCAGAGTGCCATGCATAATGGCAGTCCCCTTAGTGATGGAGAACTGCACGTTCTCCTGGGGCCATGACATCTCAGCTACCCAGCCCGGTAGCTCAGAGGAAGAATGTTCCTCAACAGTGACGACGAGGCCGTCCTTCTTCTCGGGGCCCCCTTCTTCTGTTTCTTCTTGGCGGTCACAACACCTTTGCCCGCCGCCTTCCGCTTGGCAGCAGCAGCCTGGGAGCCTCCGGCCTCAGCGCCGGCATTAGCTTCCTTCAAGGGATCGTCACCCTCAGGCACCTTCGTGCCTTCGGCCTTCTGGAAGAAGGAGTCCACGAGCTTCTTCTGTGAGGAGGCCTCCTTCTTCCTTGGCTCTTTGGCCAATTGTTTCTTCAACTATGAGAAATTCCTGACGTCCATGACTTGGCCTGCAATAACATACGAGTGTTAGAACTACAACAACAAAAAGAAACATATGCTAAGTACACAAATCGAGAGCCCTCAGCAACAACCTCCGGCACTTTGATAGCCCCGGTCAATGGAAGGATATCTCTCGTCCTTCTCCCCTGCCAAGCGATACCGCCGGAAGCCCAGCTTAAACAACTCCTCCGGGAGCGTAGCTTAAACAACTTTGCCGTGAGCTTTCTTCCGTTGCTCTCAAGAGCAGCGTTACCGACCTTCAAGTGCCTTCGGAAATGATGACGAAGAGGTTCCGGAAATGGGACGAAGGAACTTCCGAAAACAGCCTCCAGGCAGGCACCTACTACAAATTAGCGTAGCCTCTGGTGTGGGAATGCCCCCCCCCCCCCCCCGGCATAAATTGAAGGAAAGAAAAAATGGTCTAGTGAAGGTTCCACTCCCCGGTCTCGGCAGAGAGAAAGGAAACTGAACAGGTATGAGTGGCTGTTGGGCGTAAGTTGGCAGGGGGACAGTCCCAGGAAGCGCAAATACTCCAACACGAAGCTATGAAGAGGAAACTGGAGGCCCAACTCCACCGACAATATGTGAACTATAAAGCAGCCTTCGGGGGGTGGAGTAACACATCATCATGTCCCGGTTCTACCACTTGTGCTGAAGGCCCGACGAAGAATTGTGTCGCCTGATACTCGGCATGTGTAGCCCTCATCTTCACTTCGAGGGCGGCGGTGTTGAGATAGGAGTGCCCCTCGGGAATGCCTACAGGTTGCCCGGCGTCCACAGCAGCGGCCTTCTTCTTCGGAGCCCCCCTAATCTTCTTCCTTTTATTTCCCGGAGCAACCCTGAGGGGTTCGGGATTAAGGGGCCGGGAGCATCCGGCTTCATCATCATTGCGAGGAGGCGGGACAGCGACAGTGACCTTCATCCGCTCTCTTTCTTCTTCCTCCTCTGCAACTTGGAGTGCAAGGGCCATTTCCTCATCTTCGGCTACTTGTTCGAAGTCCTCGGCCTCCAACTCAATCCTGAGGTTCTCTTGGACTTCTTCGGCCACTGCAGCATCATTTTCGGCCGAGGGCTGCTCGCTCGAGGACTCCACATCCGAATAGCTCTCAGACTATACCAGGGCCTCCCCCGATATGTTTTGGGAATCGCTTTCGGAAGACATATTTTTGACAGGGGAGGAAATTCTAGCCGAAGGCGCCTAAAGTTACTATAACACTAGATCTAAGGCCCAAGAAGCAAAATGTACTAACGAAGCGAAGAACAGAAGATGAACTAACCTCGGAAATAAGAGTTTGATCAAGGGCAAAGGTTTCTCTCTCTAGAAATTTTGGCAGAGCTTCGCTTTGATTCTAATCGGACAAGGAAATGAGGTCCGGCCTTGGGGTATTTATAGGCTTCCCAGCCTCGAAGTATGGGCCTCGGTTTGAAAGCCCATCATTACGGGCCGCCGCCTCAACCAATGGGTGGCACCCTCCTTCAGCCAACGAGAGCCGGACACGTGGACCCCTCCTCCAACGGTAACCTTCCAACGGCTATATTCCGGGGTGGCCTCAACTATCACCTTTCGACACGGAGGCAACACTTCCTTCGGGTTCCACACACCTTCGAACAAAAGCAAATGTGACCCTTCGGCTTATCACACATTGGCAACCCCTCATCCAGATATGCCCTCGGATTAATGCATTACACTTTAAACTCCTTCAGCCCGAACTTGCCTTCAGCCTAAAGGAGTGGGGGACTAGGAGCACCCCTCGGGAACAACACAAAGCAAAAATTGACACATGCAAAAACTATTAATGCCACATGTAGCCTCCGGGCAAAACAATAAACACGATCCCTCGGGCATACCAATCAATATACCATTCATCAACACGCTGAGTGAATGAATATTATTAATGGAATCAATTGATGTAACTCACAGACCATCGATCAACCATAGCATGTACTTACTCATGATGTTTCGCGGTGTAAGGTCTAAAACCTTAAAACAAACCTCGTGAATCATCATAATTTCATCCCATATAATAAAAGACACGGCATGCAACATTTTTGCTTTCGTACTTCCTTAATGAATATTGAAGGTAGTGCAACAATATTTATGGAAATATGATATCAAATGATGAGTTAAAATTAGCTTTGAAAGTATATTTTCTACAAAAAATTTAGATCTTCATGTGTTCGTGTGGTTCCATTTATTGAAATAGAATGACGCAAAATCAATATATATACTATCTTTGCTCCTATATAATTCCAATGTGTTGTTTTTTAAACTAAGCACATGTCCTTTATTGATTATATTTTATTTATTAATCTATTTGACATTTGAATAATATTGTTCAACTTGTCTCAATTTAAATTTCCAAAAAACTTTTTTTTTTGTAATTTTTTACTTGTAGCAAATTATATACTCCGTATAATAATCAATGTAGCATGTTGACGATAGTGGAAATGGAAGTGTTGTAGCTAACAAAGAACGGAATAAATATATGAAAGTGAAACTTTTCGGGAGCACACAATGTGCCATGTCATTATTATATACTTTTAATTAGCCCAATTATTTTTTTAATATGTATTAGGAAAATACATGTCCCATATTTTTATGGAGAATATTAAAGTATATATAGATAAATACTCGTATAATTTATATTACTTAAAAGAATCACACAATGTGTTTGTAGTTACAATTTACTTATTATATCATTTATCAGTATGATTTGAATTCTTTAATTTGAAAATCTCAATTCATATATTTAAATTCTTCTCCTATTTTAAGTGTGATTAGAAACCTAATTTTATTAGTAACTATAAAACCTAATAAATTCAATTTATTAATGCTGAAGATTTGGTGGTTGAGGCACCAGCGGTCCACAGGCTGCCACGTCAGTATAGCCACCTGCCGATTGGCGGGTATAAATAGAAGCATTTATTTCATTGTAAAGGGTTGGCTAATAATTTTATTAGCTTCAGCATTCTTACTGGTAGCACTTCTACTGCCTTGTAAGACGAACGGTCGACGTGCCTTTTTTAGCAAGTAGATTGTACTTAGGGGAGTTATTACGAAGTTAATTATACCTATTTACATTGCCTGCTACTTCCTCTGTTTCCTGATCCATCTGATAGTTGTGGGGCTAGATATTCACACACTCCTACACCTCTTCCACTGTTAATCTTCGGGCTTGCGTGTTGGGCCTGAGGGTTGAAGGAATAAACCTCAACATATATATTTTTATTCCTTTAAATGAAAATAACTATTATCATTAAAAGCAACTATATATTGTAGATTAGAAAAATTATAGAAATAATATATTGTGCATTTGAATAAAAATGTATGAATATGAAGTACAATTAGTTAAGTTACTTTGTCAAGAAAAGTTATATGCAATATATTCAGTATATTACAATTGAACTAATAATTCTTGCATATTATTGGTCGTCCGTGAATTGCATGAATTTGACCTTTAGTATAAGTATATGAATTGAAACAAATATGAACTATACAAAACATTTCAAAATATACGTATTTTATCGGAACAGATTATACAAAGTATTTCAAAATACCAAATGAAAGTTTTACAAATTATGTATGGTTTCTAGAACCAATTCGATAAAAATTCAAAAATATGGAATGAATTCCAATATTGTAAAATATTCCAAGTATACATACTATCTCTAAATGGAATGATATATTTCTGTGTAGTTTACTTGAAAATAGAATTTTATCAATTCGGGGCCAGAAAGATATGTTCATTATCAATAAGCGACCTGAAAGATAAAAAAAAAGTATGTCAATATAGGGCTTGAATGATTGAAAATGATCAATCTGAGACCTAAAATTTCGTGAGTTTTGATATTCTTTCAAAAATTAAATATTATTTAATGTTATAAAACTAAGAAACTTTTGTGAAGAAAGAATCATAAAAAATTAGCGACAAAATTAATAAAAAATAAATAAATAGATACGTAGTATAAGTCTAATAATAGAGTAATATTCCGGTCAGGAACCCCTGACCAGAACTATCGTCGTGATTTGAAGTGATTCCAGGTGGAGTTTTTTGATGAAATTTTGTGAGTATATTCGACATGAATTTAGATTATGTACAGAAAATTTCAGCTTAAAATTCAATCTGCAAGTCAGTTAAAAAAATTATTGAAAACACTGAGCCAAAATATGTCTTTAAAATGCAGTGTTTTTCAATTATTTATTTAATTGACTTCCCAAATGATTTTAAACTTAAATTCTGTAGACATTATCTAAACTTCATGAATAACATGGTCAAAAGATTCCACTGAAAATCTTGACAGATAACTGCTTCGAATCGTCGCGGCCACACGACAAAATTAAGAAAGGAGGTGCACTTTTCTCGAGTATAATATTATGAATTTAGAACTTAGTTGCAATTAATGACTACTCACTATTGGACTCAGTAGCAATTAATTGATAACTCAATTTCAATTTGAAGGTTATACTTTATTATTAAGTATGTATGGTCAATCTTTTATTTGTATTTGATATCAATATCGATTACTTCTATTTAATTTCTTTCCTTTCTTTGTACTTTCAACGATCTCATTAAACTGGTAAACTAATAAAAATTCAAAATTCAAAATGTTGAATGTCAAATATGAACAGTCTATTAAAATTTTCAAATTTAATGACGATCTATTTGCCCTACTCAAAAGAATTAAGTAATTGGACTCAATAGCAAACAGTAAATCTCTTAGATATGCTTTGAAATGCTTTGTATAGTTCATATACCTTTCACTTTATATACTAATACTGTACTATATGTCGAGTTCGTGCGATGCACGAACGACCAATAATATGTGAGAACCATTTATTAAATTCTAATATACTTCGTATGACTTTTGTTGACAAAGTAACTGTTGAGGTTTATTCTTTCAACCCTCGGGTCCAACACGTAAGCCCGAGGTTATCGTGTGGATATTGTGTGAGTGAATAAGAAATTTGACGTGCACTTTGTCGTGAGGTGCACTCAAAATAAATACAATACAACTAATATACGTAGTATATTGAAGTAAGGTTTGTATCCGCAGGGAAAGGAATACTTCTCTTTTTTATAAACTAGTGAATATAAAGGGGGGTTTTGATTGAATGATTTAATTAATATTGAACACGAAGATGAACGAGTTATGTGGTTTAATTAATGAGAAGAAGACTTGGCTTTGCTTTTATCCACTTAATGAAATGTTCGTCGATCCCGGTTATATCTTTAAATATCTTCCTCTCGAATACTCAATCGAGGAGTATATCCAGTTCATCGAGGGTAGTTATTAATAACGAGAAGCGTTCATTAATAAAACTTACTACCGAGTCAATATAGAACAAGCGCCGTATATTAACTTGATAGTAGCAATAAAATCAAGATGAAAACGATTGAGATTGATAACCTCAACACAAGCGGTTTATTGGTTTAATCAATATAATTAATTCCCCTTGGTTTATTAACCATGAGAAGCATGCATTAATAACCCAAGTTTACTACCGTGAAAGGACCGAATTAATAACAAGCGTATTAACCGACCGATTCTAGTAATAATTACTATATAGGACAAGACTAGTTGATACTTTAAGTAATGCTCAATATATTAATATGGAATAAGAAAGGAAGTAATTAATATTCAAGGAAGAAGATTAAAGAAAATAACTCACAACTTACAAATCATTAAGCTTCAAAGTAGCAAAACCAAGATGGAAGAGTTTAGCTCCTCATTTGGAGACTAAACATGATAAAAATATAAAGAAAGAACTTGTCTAAACTGAGCTTAGAAGTATATAGGAATTGGTGAATTCATTGTGAAGGAAAGGAGGTGTATTTATAGGCTTTTTTGGGGTGCAGGTCGGGTACTCGATCGAGTGCATATATGTACGCGATCGAGTATGTGTAGAAAGCTGAATTCGATCCATACTCGATCGAATTTAGAGTAGAATTCATAGCTATACCCGATCGAGTATGTTGGTGTACCCGATCGGGTATAGACACTCGATCGTGGGGAAATCTTCTTCTGCATGTTCCTTTGTTTTCGGATCCGATCCGATTTGAAATTTCAACCAGATACTCGATCGAGTATAGGAGATACTCGACCGAGTATAGACAAAAATAAGGATTTCCTTCTTTTGTCTTGTGATTTTGCACCTTCCTTCCACTTTTGGGGTTCACCAACTGTCCTTGAGTGATGTTAGACCTGTTTGAGCTCAGAATAAACCTAATCTAAACAATTTACAAGAATTCAACAAACTAAACTATTACACCGAAAGTGTGTAATTTCCGAAATACTGAACAACCAAAACTAACTAAAAATGTAAATAAACACACGGAAATTACAAACGTATCAAGATGCAAGCAAGTAAGATGGGCTAAGAAAAGATATACAATAGTGGACCGAGTATTATTAGAACCTAATAACTCCCCGATACAATGCACTATGTTAAGGACTGCGACTGTTCCTCTTACACCTCAGTAGAAGAGTTGCGAGTAATAAGCTATGAGCTGAAAGTAAGCTAGAGTGTTAAGGCAAATAAATTGTCAACCCTTTACAATGAAATAAATGCTACTATTTATACCACCAATGAGCAGTTGGCTATGCTGACGTGGAGAGATGTGAATGGTTGAAACCCCGATCACCAAATCTCCAGCATTAAATGTGCTTCCCGCCAAGATATCGGTTTCCCGCCTATTTATGGAGACGAGCGTCCCCTTGATCCTGTGGTTCGCCCCTTGGTGTCGCTGCAAAGGATTGTAGGACGGGCGTCTTCTGGCCCTTGTATGAAACTGTGCTGGTTAGCCCTGGCCCCTGACTTCCAAGGCCTAGTGGCGACGTGCGTCGCATCTTCCTTGGGCCTGAAGGCGTAGCTGCTTGGGTTGTGGAGACGTTCGTCTCTACCCACTTAGGCTTGTCGGAACATTTGTGCTTTGACGTATACTTGAAGTACGCGAAGGACTAAAGCTAATTTTGCGATAGCCTCCAAGTTCATTAATTAAGTTCAGTTTTCCTTGTCATGTTGGAATGAGAACACCATTTCTTTCGAAAGATACCCAAGTCTCATCTTACACCTTTTGACCATGGCTCTCATTCTCTTTTTCGCAAGGTAAGAGGTCTAGCTATAATAATTTTTCACTTTTCAGATTTTCACTAGACATTACCCCATTCTAATCTCGGCCTCACCAAGGAAAAATAGCAATTAAAGTTCATTTATTTCAAAGTGGATCCATGCCTACAATGCAATCCTCAAAAGTATCAAATTCCTAAAAAGTGACCGCTCTTACCCCATTTGGGGCATAGGAACAGTGCCAAAGATGGCTCTTACACAAATTCCCTAAACTTAACAAATTCATCCCTAGTTCCCTAAACACCAAGACTATGCCAGAAGCATTCACGGGTAAGGAAAACAGACCATTTGGCTATGGAGCTCAATTAGTTGGGTATAGAATAAAAATGGGTAGACTCAAAGTGGCTTCTCCTAAAGAACTTTTCAGGTGGGGTGGATGATTTATGAATTAATTCAATGAGTGACTAATGTCTTCATTTTTTCAACAACTAGATTATAGTGCAAAAAATTTAAGCCTAAACACTTCAAAGATGTTCTAAAAGCATAGTCAAAACGCTAGCCAGCTCACAAAGACATAGTTTAAAGAAATAATTTCAAAATTTTTTACATGACTTTCCATGAATATACAACTAACACATGCGCATGCTAACTCTAATAATCTCATGTAACAACTACTGTCCAATGCCCAATTCACTCCCCCACACTTAAACTTTGGCATCGCTCTCGATGGCCAAATATGCACTATGCACTAGGGGGTAAAGAGAAAAGGGTCACACGTGCTCAACTCAATATTTACAAAACATGCGATAATAAGAGTCGCAGAAACTTCCCTAAGGCGCTGGTTGGTGCAGAACTAAACTGAGTCAAGTCATCCTCG